TTGTTATGCCCTATTTATTATTTTTAAACCCTCAATTTTAAACCACAGTAAATTTCAAAATGTTTTTTTTTTCAGTGAGTATTGCAGAAAGTACCTAATCATTATTTTGAATTTGTGAAATGTGTGAATATTAAAAAAGACAAAATCAGTAAAAAAAAAATAAAATAAAGTATATATATTTTGTATTTTCTCACTTACTTGGTTGTACACAAAAAAAAAAATTAATTTTATATGAAATGAAAGTGAATTTAATAATAAAATATCTAAGTTAAGTTTACTGATTTCATTAGAGACAGTAAATATTCAATAATAATTGTGAATTGAATTTATTTTGAGTGTATTGGAATTAAACTTGTCATAAATGCGACGAATAAAATTTTGTCAATCAAATATTGACTCAAAATATGTAGTAATATTAAAATTCTAATACTAAGAAGTTTAATTGTATACTGCTATTATATTCGTAAAATAAAAATATTCCTATATTATCGGCTAATTTAATACTGTATCGTTATACTATTCAGCAATTAATATTTACAAGCTGAATTGTTTAGTATTATTACAACCTCATATTGGATTTGAAGTAATATTGCATCTTTATCAAGCCCTGTAATTAAGACTTAAAAGCTAAATTGTTTAGGAATAACCTAAAATCAGGATTTACAGTAATACTGCATTTCTACAAAATGCATACCAATCAGCACTTATAAGGTGGATTTCAAAGTAATTAAAGTATACTAAAATGCCGATGTCAGGGATGGTTTATATATTCTTTACGGCATGCTTATACATTATTTAATCTAATAAAAGAAGCTTTAAAGCGAATAATGCCTATTTAGCATCAAAATATTAATGATATTAACAAGTGTTACAATTTACTGGTATTTTACTGTTGTTTTACTTAAAAAAAAATTTTATTTTAATGTTCACATGTTTTCAGTTTTTTTTTGTTGATAGTTTCCTCAAACTCGAATCGTTTCCATATTCATTTTCAATTAGTTCAATTTATGAACGCAAAATTATATGATGCAGGCAGTAGTTATTTACGAAAGGGGAGAGAGAGAGAGAGAGAGAGAGGTAAAAAATGTAAAACATTTGATGAAAAAAAAAATTAAAAATGGAAAATAAAAAAAATCAGTTAAATTTATTACTTTCACTTATTTTATAAAAAAAAAACCCAGCTCAAATTGAAAATATCATTTTAAATAAGAAAGTAAAAGAAAAAAAAAATCTGATGTGAACAGCACATAATCGACCGCATATCGTTTCTTAGTAGACGTTCATTTTCCGTGATCCGTTTTCACTGCAAAATTTCACAGTTAACAATTAGAACTAAAATATTATATTTCAAGAAATTCCGAACCCTGATATTCCCGAAAAAGTTAATAGTTCATTGTTTTAATCCACATTCTAAATATTTCCGATAACTTAGTTTATTATTTATCTCTATATGAAAAAAAACTTGAAATTGGTCCATTTCCGAAGATCTGTCTTTTCCAAAAAGTTGATCAAACTGTCCCATCCTCGAATGAATTCAGATGTAAAATTTTATAAAAATTTCTATAGTATAACTCGAGATATTGATCTTCACAAACAGACTGACATACAGGCTTTTCCCTAAAAATAGTTTATTTACACTTCCCTACTCTGGAGAAAAACACATTTCCGCCGAAAACTTGATATGTGAAATTTATTTCCATGACATGACCTCCCTTATTGTATACAATGCGATCTGTAAGAAATTGTGTAAATGTAACATGATATTGAAAATTTATTGTGTAAAAATAAAATGTTTCACATTTGATATTCACTCAACTTAAATTTTCCATTTTAAATTAAATAAGAAAAAAAAGTAGCGAAATAAAAACTTTAAAACATTAAAAAATTATTGAAAATCACAATAAAAAAAATAATTTAAAGCTCTCAATTTCCGGTATACACAAATATAAAAGTAAAATCGTGGTTAAATCCGAGTTTTTATTAATTTTTTTTAATTAAATTGCAAAATATGGTATTTAATCGTTCATTGTTAAAAGTTTCAATTTTAAATAATCGGTGATTATAAATAATTTAACTCGATTATATAATAGTATGTATTTGAAATAATAAATTTGAAGTGTTTTATACAAGATTTTTAACTAAATATCAGATTTATTGGATTTTTGATTGGATTACGTGAAAAATGTACCATGTTCCCTTATATAATGTTGTATTTCATATGTTCTATGTTCCATTTTTTGTGGTTTTTCATGTTCCGTGTTCCCCTTCTATATTGTTTCACTAACTACAAAAGAAAAACTTATTCATGAAGGATTGCAAATTCATTAGACAGTTGCTCTCATTTCTCTTTTCTCTGTTTTTCTTATTTGGTTTTCACATTTCATCCCAAAGTTTTCTAAATTTTCAGATTGAAATAAAAGGGTTTATCAAATGTGTACTTGATCACTATGTGTACCTGATCACTATTTTTCATAATTTTACAATATTCTTGCTGAATTTTGTAAAATTCCTAAGTAAATAAAATCAGTAAACACATGTCACACTTTTTTTTAATAATAGAAATTAGTACTAAGGAGAAACACATTAGAATTGTGTTATATATTTCAATATTCTAATTTTATTATTTATTAAGTACAAGAGAATCGATAGATGAAGAGAGAGAGAGAGAAACTTATATTTTACATTCATTTCTCTCTTAGAAATCAAATACCTGCCATTTATTAAAATTTTTTATGCTAAAAATGTTTTTAATAAATTAACTAATTAATCTAAATTATCTATGTCACAATTTTTGACAGGATATTCTTATTATTATTGCAATTTTAATAAATATAAATTTGAGTTTGAGAAAAATGAAATATTAAAAATAAATTAAGAAAATTTAATAATTCCAAAAACCTTTTTTTCTATTTTTACTTATTAAGAAATGTAATTCTCAACAAATTATTTTCTCAAAATTATTTTTGTATAATTTATTTTAAGAATTGAAAAAAGATATATATATATACTTATATATATATATATATATGTATTTTATTACATAACCATATTATTTATATGAAAAATCATTATTATTTATTACCACAAATACTATGACATTTATGTCATTCTGATTGAATGACATAAGGTAGTCTGAAATGTGATTTTAATCAAGTGTTAAGAGTCACTTTAAATTATCTCAATAATATTATAATAATATTACAGTTTATATTTATATAACAAATAAAAATTGCATGCAGGTACTACGAGTACATAGCATATTTTTACTTACATATTTTATGGTCTACCAAATAGGTAATCAAATGAAATATCGAATGATAATTTGAAAATTATTGCATTTGGAACACATTTGCATTTATTTTGACTCTCTCTCTCTCTCTCCCTCTATAATAAGTTGAAAGTAAACAAATATTAATTGTTATGTTTAGAATGTCAAAAAGAAATTATATTTTTACGGAATTGAAATATTTTCTTTCTCTTTTAACAGCTCTCACCAGCCATCAATTTCGTATTCGTTCTCTCATTAGTTCTCCGTTCGTCATAATATTATTATCATTATTCATTAATATTTTATAGCCTTTATTTTTAAAAAGAGAAAATATTCCAAAAATTACTCAAACATAAATACTGTATTTGTCAAATTAAAATTTGTCTATATTATTTTTAATACTTACTTACATACACGTATATGTTTTATATTTTCAGGTATGCCTGCCAACTTTAAAAGAAAAAAAAGTCATAAACTCAATTTAATGATTATTATGCTTTAAAATATATATATATATATATAAATACGTACTATATATATTTTAAAAATTAAAAATTTTTTATTTTTAACTGATCAAAGATAGATCAACAATACCCAAAAAGAAAACAAAAAACACGAATTGAAAAAAGAAATTTAAAAATAAAGAGAAAAGTAAGAATTAAAGTAACAAGAATATATATAAAGAAAACAGTAAACAGAAGAGAGAGTATTGTTTTTGTAAATAAGTAATGAGTCATCAATTAACGAATTCAGTTAATAAATCTACTGCCAGAGGTAGCAGCAGTAAAATAAAATCATTAAATGCAAGACAATTTACAAATATTGGAGGTGGTAATGGTAATAAAATGATTGTTGCTCGTAAAGAGCCTGAACAAGAAAGTGGTTATTATGAAGATAATCCTTGTATAGATATTTCAACATCATCAACAAATATTATTGTTAATATTAAACAAGATAAATATTCAAATCAACAACAACAGCAACAACATCAACAATTTACTAATAATAATAAAAAATCTAATACTAAAAATGATTATTATAAAAATAATAATCAAAAATCTACTACCTCAAAAAATAATATAAATGTAAGTGATAATAATAAAAATTCTTCTTATAATTATAATAATATATTGGCATTTGAAACATCATCGACAACATCTTCGTCATCATCTTTAGCATCATCATCATCATCAACAACAACAACAACAGCATCATCATCAACAGTATCATCATCTGGTGCTTCAACATCGTCAAAATCTTCAACATCTTCAAAACAAACAGGAAAAACAACAATAACATCAACTATAACAACAAAAACTTCAGCAACAACAAATTCTCAATATCAAAAACGTAATAATAATAATAGTAATTATCATCAGACAAAGGATATTATTTTAAATAATAAAAATAATCAAAAAGAAATTATTAACGACAGTAAAATATTAAATATTACAACAGATAATAATAGTACGGCAACGGCAACAACATTTTTTATTAATAGTATAGACGATGGTAATAATATTGAAGAATATCATCATACACCAAATAAAAAACGTCGCGGTAATTTAAGAAATAATGCTATTAATATAACAAATAATAATAATAATAATAATAATAATAATAGTAATAATAAAAAAAATTATAAAAATATAATTAATAATAATAATACAACATCAAATAATAATTCATTAATAGCTGAAACAACAACAACAACAACTAATAATAATAATAATATAACAAGTGGCTTTGATATAACAAATATAAATAATAAAATTAATATTATTTGTGATAAAAATAATTTAAAAAATTCAAAAAAATTATTATTAAATAAAAATTTAAAAGACTGTGATTTAAATAAAAATAAAATGTTATTAGCATCAGATAAAACAAATAATACAAATAATAATGATAAAAGTGCTATTAGTAATAATAATTATAATAATAATATAAATTCAAAAAATAATTATATTATTGATTTTAATCATAAATTTGTTAAAGATTATAATAATAAAACAACAACAATAATAAATAATATTCATAATCATAATAATAATAATAATAATAATAATAGTTATAATATAATTAATAATGGTGGTGGAGGTGGTAGCAGTGGTAATAATATTGTTAATAATTCTAATTTAAATAATAAAAATTTTGTTAATATTAAAAATCATGGTGTTGAAAAATGTAATAATTATACAAATATGACAGATAAACAGCAACAATCTCAACAACAACAACAACAAGAAAATATAACAAATGTACGTTATATTTCTGATGAAGCTATTACATTAAAACGTAATAGTAGCGGTGAAATATCAAAAGCTGCTAAAGATAATACAGAACGTAGTGATTCTGTTGTTATTGTACCAAATGATCGTGATATGCAATTTGAAAAAGAAATTGAAGATATATCAAAAATTCGAACAACAAGTAAGTGAAATAAATTATTTTTTTATTTAAGTATACCAACAATCTTATATATTGTAATTTCCGCTCTGTGTTCCAATACTGAGAAAAAATTAATGCAGAAATATTAAAATTGTATACAATTAAATTACTTTTCAAACAGTGAGCATTTGAATTCGATGCAATTTAAAAGTCTGTAGCAATATAAACACGCTGAGAGAAGAGATAAGATAATAATTGTCGTTTATATATGTATGTATATCTCAATTTTTCTGTCATCCAAATTTAAACCAGTTCAAATTACAGTAAATAGTTTTTTCACTCTAATGCAAAATCATGAAATTAAATATTATTTAATTTCATAATTTTATTGTATGTATCACATAATTGAATTTAAATGTCATAATAAAAAATGTTAGTAAATTTGGAAATACCGGTATTACCACTCTACAAATACTACTCTATTATTATTATTGAATTTATTTGGAAATTTTCTGAGTCATAATATTACAGTAGGTAAATAAAAAATAATTTATCGGGTATTAATGAACAAGAGCAAGAAAACATATGTATGTATATGTAATATTATTTTCTAATTGTAAATTCTTTGGGTAATCCTCGTGTTATCTTTCAAATGAAGCACTTAACGTATGTACATTTAATTACATTTTTTTAAAATTTAAAACAAATTTGAATAGGTATTAGGATAATGATAAAAGTGCATATAAGTACCTTAGTTCACTCTTAATGTATTTTTAAATTTTCTAATTCCTTATCTGTTAATTTAATAATTTCTGAAGAATTCTAAGTAAAGAATTTAAAAAAAAAATTTTCCAGTTTAAGTACTTATTGTAATATAAAAATTTATTATTTTGTAGGTAAGTACTAACTCACTTTCATTTATGAAAGATAAGTGAGTACTTGCTGCAAAATTTTGATTACAATTTAAATCAATGTTAATTAATTATTCTCAAAAAAATAATTTTAGTGTGCGAGTGACTTGAGAATTTTTCGCATATTTTTGTCTTATTCTGCATTTTATTAAAACTATTACATATTATGAACTATCATCATTGATTACTTTTATGAATTATCATCATTGATTACTTTCAATAATTACTTTTCTCTCATTTCACTTGAAAATCAAAAACTGCTATCAAAATTTAAATTTTCATATTTCAATGAAATTTTTAGATGTCATAGTTGCATAGGCGCACATGTATACTCGTATCATGTAAATGTAATCATTCTTGACATACATATGTGAATTATGTCACATAACACATTTTATTCACATAAAATACTTCCACATAAATTTTAATTTTCCCAAATCTACAGCATAATAATAAAATTGTGTAGTGCATATTATTTCCTAAATATTAAGTATGATTATTGCTATAAGTTTATGGTTCCCCCATATGCACACTTTACTATATACTTACATGCATACATAAATGTTATTCTAATATTAACAAATTAGAAAAATTTAGCACAAAATGTTCCAATATTTTTGGGATGGGTAAAATTTGGACACAATTTGCTTAATATAGAGAGAATATTATATTTTTATAAAAACAAAAAAAAAAAAAAAACAAAAATTGAATAAGGAAAATGATTGAAGGAAAAATAGACACGAACAAAAAAAAGACAAAAAAAATGTCGGAAATCGAGGTTAAATGTTTACTAAATTTTTATGCATTTTATTTTACTCTATTATTATTTTTGTTATTGTTTCTTTTTTTTTCTTTTCGAATATTCTACAAAATTTTAAAACGAAAAAATTCCATTTATTTACAAAATTTTTGTATTAAGCTCGAAATTAATGTACTTAAGTATATGTATGTATGTATGTGCAACATACTTACGAATGTTCAATTTAATTATTTTTATATTGTGAATACTTTACATACTAATAAATGAGTTGAAGTACATTATAGCTACAATAAATTCAGTATTTTAGCAGTACTTTTTATTATTCTAGAATTTTTTTGGTCTTCGTACTAAATGTAATTTGTTAATGAAGAACAATACACAATTTTCAAATTGTTCAGGAAAGAAAATTAGAAATTTAATTTCTATTCAAATTCTCGGATGAAAGATTAAAACATTTGTAGTAGATTTAAATGACAATCCTATTTCCACAAAACTGTTTTATAGGACGTATTGGTGGTAAAGAAACTGTGACTGAAACTTTTTTATAAAAAAGCAATACTAAATCAGGTCACTTATTCCAAAAAGTAGAAATTTTGTCTAAATATTTTCGTATATTTTTGTGTACAATAACGTATAATTATTTGTTATATTTGCCAAAAAATTTTTTAATTTAAGTAAAATCTGACTACCTAATTCGAACTTTATTTAGTGTCTTAATATTCGACATCTGTTTTTACCCCCTTAAAATGAAAAATTAGATTTGAAGAATGACGTGTATTAGTATGAATACTTTGTAAAAGATACGAAATATTTGGAAAATGGTGAAAAAAGTCAATTTTTCGACAGAAATGTTATTTGACAAAAACTAAAATGAATATTTCAGTTTTTGTAAAAACTGAAATATTTGTTTAAATATTAGCTTGCGTTATTACTTTAACATACATATTTCTATATATGTAGGTATGTAGAACAACTGATTGTCAATAAATTGTCAAATAGAGAAAAGAGCTCCCGGTAAATTCAAATTACAATTAAGATATTTCTAATATCCGGAACATATAGCTACCTACCTCATCTAGAATTGAATATCTAAACTTTACTGTATTTTTTAATAAATTTTTTATTTTACATTAATTTTTTTTTTTATGTGTTTACACATATTTTATAATATTTATGGAAAAAAACAAAAGGCAAAAAAGAAAAATGAAAACCAGCATTTTAAAGTGAGGCTATTTACCTATAAACAAAATAAGTATGTCTATTTAAATGAACATGTTACAAGCAATCTAATAAGCAACAGAAAAAATAAAATATTAAAATAATTAAAAAAAAACATATAATAAAATTTACCTATCTTCTACATACATATTTAAACTTTTAAATACGCGTGTGTTTATGTACAAATGTCCCGAACGTCAAGTCACTTGTAAAGCAAATACATACATACATATGCATAAACGTATTTAAGTATTATTTTTAAATAAACCTAAATGAATACACACACACAAAAATAAAGACCATACACTTGTAAATAAGTACGTACGTAAATATATTTACATATTTTTAAATTTATTTATAATTAATAATATAATAATGTATATAAAAAATGTATTAATTTCAAGTAGGTGAATGTTTATTTAGATAGACGAAGAGAAAAATAAAACAACTACATACTTACATACATTCCCAATTTATACAATACCCAAAAGTTTTAAGCATGAAATTATTTTTCGTATTTTTATAATCGTGTTGAGTTTACGATGTTTTGGCAACGTTGCTGTTATAATATATAAGTTATATATAAAAATATAATTACATATACTTCTCATATACTTACATACATAAATAGCTATATCTAGCTATATAAATAGCTATATATTTATGTATGTCCCTCCGTTTCTGTTTCGGCAGCAATATTTTATGTTTGTTTCTAGAGTTTATAATATTTTGTTGGTTTATTGTCATAATAATAATAATAATTATTGATGGGCAACAATATTTTCATGTTTTATAACAATAAAAAAATAGCTAAACATAAATAAAACCTAAAAGCGAAAAATTATATACATATTTACATACTATATATACACTTGCAATACTACAATAAATTTGACGTTATATACTTTTACGTATGTAAATTCTAAAATATAAAAAAAGAACTAAAATATAAATAGAAAAGAAGGTTGAAAAAAAGGGGTGATATTGAATACCACACCATTAATAATAATTTAAATTTATAAAATACAAAATTACCTTATACGAATATAGATAACTTTATATAACAATAATAAGTTGTATATATAAAATTTGTGGTGGTATAACACATAACATCCATATACGAACAAACAATATTATATCACCACATTTATCATTCCCACCACATTTGTACCCCAATATTTATAGTGTAAACAAAAATAGTATATAACACTAGAAACATATCTATATTCGTTTGACACTTTTCTTTAATGTAGTAGTTGTAAAACTTTTATATAAGCTTTCTCAAAGCTTTCGATCGATCTTGAAAAGAAAACGAAAAAGAAAATGAGACAAAAAAATTTTTTGATTTTATCATTTTATTTTCCATTTGTTTTTCTTTTTTGCTGAAGCTAGAGGCAATTTCTCGTGTATTACAATTTTTAAATATCCAAGTATAATAATTTTTTGTATATACATATGTATGTATGTATATATATGTATACTTATAGGGTATATAATTTTGTATACTTGTGTTACAAGTTTATTTAATATTCAAATTGTAGAATGTTTATTAATAATTTTAAAATTTGAGATTTTTTTTCGAATAAAAACTATTAATAATTAATTACATTAATTTTTGTTAAAAAAAAATATTTTAATTTTTCTAAAAGAAATACATATGTACATATGTATGTAGAAAAAATACGAAAAGCTTTATATGAATGAGAATATTACCGAATATTCCCGTCATTTTGACAGTAACATTTTAAAAAAATGTCCACACTAATGAAGAGTTCGCACTAATAAAGAGTCCGCTCTAATAACTGCATGAAAACTACCATAAAAATTATTGACCTCAGCCGTAAATATTACAGAAATTGTTATTCTTTACATACATTTATATTAACAAATTCATGTTAACTAATTTCGATTAATGAAATTTTTAAAAATTTAAAAAATCAAAATAAAAAATTACCCTTTAATTGCTTTAATTTCATTTCGTCGTACTTTCTACCTTGAAACTCTTTGAAATACACAAGTAATTGAAAATGTCTGTCGCGTATTTTTTTTATTAATTCTATTTATACTAAAAGAGTATAATTAACATTTTGTTAACATTATTATTATCGAGATAATCGTTGAAAGTAGACTTAATGTTCATTGAATTTTACATT